GCATGGGACCACTGAGATTTAGAAACAATCTGATTCTGATGGGGGAGCATGGGCTAGGTCCAGCTGGAACCTTGGCAAAACAATCCAGTCCAATTTGGTGTTATCACGACCATGTTGAAGTACCAAAACCCTCCCAAAACCCATTTGCACCAAGCAGATTGGTCCTTGTCCTTGGTCCATGTTTTTGCACGCTTGGCCTTGGATTCGGCCCCGAACCGGTGCCCCCTACTGAGCGGACACGGTGCAGCTCTTGAGCGGAAACGCGTCCACCACTCGGTCGTGGGAAAGGCATCTCACATATTCACCGTAGTCTGGCTTCGAAGGACACTTCTCATCCGCTGACCTGCAGGAAATAAGAAAGCGGCCAAATGTTGATGTACACGGGCGTCTTGCCCCAACAATGAGCAAATGCAAAGTTGAACGTGCAATTGTCATCAATTGTCCAGAAACAATGGGATACAATGGAGAAGCTTCGTGTTGTGCAATGGATCTGCATGGATTAGCTGTTGGTTTCTGGCGTTCACATGCATTCTTGCGCCCATCTCACGTCCAGCGAACCTCACATCTTGGCGGAACAGGAGTGGCACCGATTCCTTCACCTCCGACGCAAAGAATTCCTCGTTCTCGGAGCTGCATTTCTGGGCCCGTGCGCAACCACCACCGGATCCCAAGCAGCCGGTATGCCAAAGGGACATGCCACCGGAGAGATGTGCTTGTGTGGTGCAAAAAGTGGAGAAATGCATCTGTTGATAGTCCATACATGTCCACACACTCATACACGTGCCATAGTGTGACGAGTTTCCCACATCTATTATATAACATATCGATCACTGCGCATGTGCCCAGCCAAAGCTTGTGCATGGGAAGGAAAGCATGGCCGGTGGCACCTTTGAGCCTTCGGCTGGGCTAAGCCGGCCGGACATTTGGAAGATGCAAGTCAACTCTGAATCAAAAGCAACTTGCGCAGCCCATCATCCAAACCCCGGGACTTCTTGAAGAAAAAACCCAACAAATCGATAAGATTGAGAACCGATCAGTTTTGAGAATCCAGCTTCTAACCCACACCCACACCGTGGATGCCAAGGTCAGCTACGCCTGTCGCGTCGCTCATCAGGTTGTCAAAGCGCACAGACATCCACGCTGGTCACTAGGCTTGCGGAGAGATCATTCGTGGGCTCTGGTCGCTCACCCCTTAAACCATATGGGTTTGTAATTACAATGATGGTGTGACAGCCTGGTACTTCGTGTATTTTCATGTATTTCCCAATGGTCTCTGTTAAAGACTGGCCAGCAACGCCCTGAAACCCTTGCATTCTCGAGGCAAATCCTTTGTGCAGTTTGCTCTGGACTCCAACCGTAATTTAAACACAGTGGAGTAGATTGACCTTCAGTGTAGAAGCAGGACTGCATTCTGATGCATAATGCATCCACGTGGTGAAGGGCACGTGGGGGACACCTCAAAATGAAGAACAAACTTTCAAGTGTGCAACAAGTGATTGGGTGCCCCTCGCGGATGCGAGTGAGTCCAAGCCTCTGCGGGCCAATCTTGATTCCATTCCGGATGAATGCTGCTCTGCCATTGCAAAGTAAATGCACTCGATTTTGGACCATTAGGCCACTGCAAAAAGAGAAGCCCACTAGAGCTGAGCTGCTTAGCTTGCCGCCCCCCACCAGTCCACAGCAGCCCTCTGTTGACGAAATATTCACTGTCATTGAGTTCAGCTAAATTGTGCATCTACTGATTACAGCCGGAACTGAGACGTCTCACACGAAACCGGCTCTCTCTCTCTCTCTCTCTCTACTCCTGGTTCCTAGTTACAACATGTTACAACTAAAGGATAGCTGCCGGGGCCTGTTTCAGGCGTGGACTAAGGGAGAGCTTCGTAGGCCGAACTAGAGACCAAAGTCCAACTTCTCAACTTCGTATCTGGACATCGATGGCAGGCGCACAGGGAAGCACTCGCCAGGAACCACGTGCGGAGGAATCCTGAGGCAACATCTGATGTCATATGGAGTGTCATATGGCTGTGGATCAAAAGTAGGGTACCTTGATTGACCAAAGGGTCACCCAGCTGAAGGAAACTTGTCCAGCCCAGCAGCAAGGCACAAAGCCAGCGACCATCCCACTCACCAACTCCTAGAAATGCCACTGCCTGCCCTGTGACGCATGTGTAGGGCGCTTTCCTGAGTTCAGAAGAAGCCGAGAGGCATACACAACAGTCTGAAAAGTGCATAAAACGCACACGCTCGTGGTAGAGGGCACTCTGCCACTACAATCACCTTCCTGACATCTCCTGACCATGCCTTCAAGGAGAAGTGCTGCAACGTTTCGTAACCACTCACACCAAACATGATTCACAATTTGGCGTTCAACACCATGATCCTGGCACTTCCAGACCAAATGGAGTTGTATTCAGGGACCCCCTGGCCAGTTTTCAAGAAAAATGGTCAGTTCACCCACCGTCGAAGAACGCCCTGAAGGATTCTACCCCTAACCATCACATCCAACATTAGAACCCAGGTACCAACTCCAGGGTGACCGGGCGAGGAGTCCAACGGCACTGAGGCTCATTTGCTCCCAAGGTCGTGATCATCGACTATTGACCAACAGCCACCAGCCCTATTCCAGCAGCTTCGTGTCCAAATTGTTCGTTTGGCCAAATGTTCTTGGGGAAATGATGGGAAATGGTCGTCACCGGACCAGTATATAAGCAACCCACATGTTACCTGCCATCCGTTGCCTTCACCGGTGGCTTCACCGGTGGCTTCACCGGTGGCTTCACCCGGCACCCCATCCTCCGGCACCCTCCGGCCCTAGGCTCACCGTCATGGAGGGGCGCGTCACCCGGAAGCAATCGCCCGGACCCAATCCTTCGGGAACCCGGAACTCGATGGGCCAGCCGTCCAGGTCCTAAGATGCTCCGGGTCGATACCGGTGCGGCACGGCATCGGGTTCCGATGAATTCTGGCATGATTCGGGATGGGGTGAGGTTGAAACTCATTTTGTGTCTTTACTGTGACACACTGCTACATAAAACAGCATCGACCCTTCAGTCTGTAATTGAAGATGAACTGATGAACGAAAGGACAGCAGTTTGCCTCAATGCGGATCTTGCAAAATGCGTCACCTCACTCTGGCCATGCTACCTGATGAGGTATGATCTTGCCGCCGGACATGTGTGGCGGCACTTGAACTTCATACTCCGGAGGTGCTCCAAGGTCAATGGTAACCTCGACTCGATTGGTTCAGTCTAGGCGTCTGAGTCTGGAAGAAAATTCCCCAGAGTTGGGATACGTTAGTTGCACCATAGGACGACTCTTGCCAATGCCAATGCTGTGCGCCCCCAAGTTCACATTGTCAAATAGAAAAATCCTTAATTAAAGAAAGAAAACAAACTTCTTGCCCAAGAGACCAATTCACCGGGCTTGGCCCCGGCTGGAACCCTGGTGCGGATTTCAAACTCCAAGCCTTCAACGCAGATCAACGAGCTGCCGTCACGTGGCACGAGAGCCTCGATGACCAAAGGAGGTGAGGCCACAGTCACGGGCATCCCCAAATCAGATGGGTCCTCGCCTCCCCGGCCTCAGGGTGCACAGGTCTTCAAGCGATGTCTTCACCTCGGTCTCCCCTCAAACAGGAACAGAGAAGGCTTCAAAAACCGTACCCAACACCCTGGAGGCCCAGCAACTGTTTTTCATCGGAAAGCTCTCTGCCACGGTGTCTTGGTTGAGGCATCTCACATAATGCTCATAGTCTGCGTGCAGCAAAGGAAAGTGCTCATCAGCCGGCCTGGGTTGTAACCAAAAGTCAACAGTATGCAAAAACCGTGAAGAGCTGGGAACACCCCCCGTCTTTTGTTAACGCCACCATGGACCGGTCTCGGTCTTGTCAATCTCACTCTCTCTTCTCCTTCTTCTCCTTCTTCTCCTTCTTCTCCTTCTTCTCCTTCTTCTCCTTCTTCTCCTTCT